AAAGTTCATTAAGTTCGAATCGAGGTGTGATTTAGGATTTTGTTGTTGTTTGATGTGATTTGACGCCTCGAGCAGGTCCGTTTTATGTTATGGGACTGAGTTGTGTGATTGGACGGGGTCCCGAGGGCCTCGAGTGAGTTTCGGACGTGCGGGAGGAGTTGAAAACACACCAGATTTTCTGGTGTTCTTGGCAGCAGTTGCAGGTCTCGCAAATGCGAGAAATTGTTCGCATTTGCGAACCTCGCATTTGCGAGAAAGGCTTCGCATTTGCGATGGAGCCTGACCTAAGGCAGAGTCCGCATTTGCGATGTTTTGGTCGCATTTGCGACCTCAGCAGAGTCCATATTTGCGACTCATTTGTCGCATTTGCGACCTTGGCAGGGGAGGCCCATGTTTGCAGTTGCGATAGTTTTGTCGCATTTGCGAACCAGGTGTCGCAAATGCGACATCTGAGGCCTGTGCACAGCTATTAATTTCGAGACTTAGACCATTTAGCTCATTTCCTTTCATCTCTTGGGCGATTTTGGAAGAGGGTGTTCACCTAGCACTTTGAGGTAAGTAATTTCTACACAACGCGAGTTTAAATACACGTATTATGGGTAGATTAACATGTAAAATTAGGAAAAACCAAGGGTTTAGATGAAAAATCTAGGTTTTGGATAAAAATGAGATTTGACCACGAAAATGGTTATGGAATGGAGTAGAAATCATATATTCTTGATCCTTGGGTTATGGGTAACAACTTTCTTCAAAAATTTTTGAAATCCGGGCACGTGGGTCCGAGGATGAATTTTAAGAACTTTGTATTTAAGGTTGGGAAATTAGTTTAATAATTAGAATATGAAATCTTGAGCTTGTATTGACTAGTTCTTACCCCATTTGAATAGTTTTTGGATCGTTCAACTTCGATTGGGAGGTTTGAGCGCATTCCTGAATTGGAATATAGGCTTCGGAGCGAGGTGAGTCTCCTTTCTAACCTTGTAAGAGGGAATTGTCCCCATAGGTGAATTAATTGGATATGTGCTGCTATTTGTGGGGGCTACGTACGCACGAGGTGACGAGAGTCCGTGCGTAGCTACTATTATGCTTATGTCCGGGTAGTCTAGGACCCAAAAGCATGTTTTACTTGTAATAATTGTAATCTTATTGATAACTTGAATTGCTTAAATCATATCGAAGTGGCAAATGATTTTCTAAAAGAGTTAAACTTCATTTTCTTGACTTGTAAAAGAGAAATTTTTACCTCCTTGAATAATTGTTTCCCTGATGAAGTCTTGATTGACTGTTTGAATGTGTGTTTCTATGTGTACCAGCGTCGCATGTATGATTCGCGATCAGGGTGTTTGTTATTTTATTTGACCGCGTTGCATGTATGATTCGCGAGCGGGGTAATAGATGCATCTATGGTTCGCGCCATTCGACCCTCTGGCAGTTCACAGTTTAAATATTATTGGATCGGGCTATACGTCCTCGACATGATTTGCGCATGCTTGTAATGTTTGCCTTAGAATTTATAAATGTTGATATTTGTTCTCCCTGGCATGTGATAAATGTATGAATGATGAAAACGGATTTGGAAATTTCCCTATGAATAAAAGAATTATTTACTTGTTCCATTCTATTGAGTTACAACCATGTTTTATAAAAATCGTTGATTTACTATATTATTTGTGTATCATTATTGGACCACTAGTAAGTATCGAAGTCAACCTCTCGTCTCTACTTCTTCGAGATTAGGCGGGATACTTACTGAGTACACGTTGTTTTCGTACTCATGCTACACTTGCTGTGCATTTTTGTTGCACATGCACATGTATCTCTAGCGGCCTAGTGGGCGTAGCAGCATGGTTGATACGGAGACTTAGGTGAGCTGCACTTCTCGAGACGACCCGCAGCCAGCAGAGTCTCTTTCAGATTTCCATATTTACTTTCTGTCCTATTTGTATTCCGGACGATTGTTGTATTATATTGTTTCCTAGAGATAGCTCATGCACTTGTGACACCGGGTTCTAGGATGAGTATGAGATTATTCAAAATTTAGTTTGTTAAAGACAATATCTTATTTCAGTGAAATTCATTATTTATTGTTTAATGTATAAAAGAAATGATTTCAATAAATACTAAGATGGGAATTTAATTAACTTCTTAGTGTTGGCTTGCCTGACAGTGGTGTCCGGCGCCATCACGATCCTTAATGGATTTTGGGTCGTGATACAATCAAAACTCGAGCAGATGAAAAGAATCATCTGTTTTTTTTGTCTCAATTAAAATTTGTATTTGAGACCTGTTTGTACAAAGAAGAAAATTAAGCAAGAGATAAAAGGCACTTTTGTAGCTTATTTTTATTAGGTTTTCCTTTAATTCTCAGTTGTCATTGGATTTAAGATAGAATGAAGTGAAACAATTTGTTTTAGTTATAGGACTTTGAGGCACTTTATCTGAACTCAAATATTTTTGACTCTAAGCAATTTGTAGAAATTATTAAATATCAATAATTATTAAATCTGAACTCATAATTTTATAGTGCAATGAGTTCATAATAAGAATTTTAAAAGTCGAAATCATTAAGTTTAATTTCTAGATCCGCCTTCGAATAGAAATTTTCACTCCATTTTGCCAAGCTACGTCCTTGGATTCCCAAAACTTCCCAAATAATATCAAGATAAAGATAAAGTGATAGTAAATGACAACTTGTACAAAACCTTTTTCCAAAAACAACCACCTTATACTTTTGTTCAATAATAACAAGGTATATTCCTTTTTCCCCTTGCACCCAATATTCAATAAGAAAAAGAAGCTTCCATTCATCTTCCTATAATTCAAGCTGTGTATAATTTTTATATATATAATTGTGATGTTCGGTCAGTTCGTGTATGTCTTGATTAATTTTACAAAATACATATGTTCGTTCATCAGCACAAGTATCAAGTAATTATGTCCACTAATTAACATGTTCAAGTTCTTATTCTCACAAATTAATCAATTGAATATACTACGAATGATGCACAATTTTTTAATTTCTCTTTTCATATATAAAGGTAGGAGGTGGATAAACGAGGAGGGAATTACGTGATGAGGAATCAAACATTCACAAAAAAAAAAAAAAAAAAAAAAAAAAAAAAAAAAATTCAGGTGGCAAATCAATTGAGCTACTAAAATTGCCCTAATACACAAAAAGAATCCTGAATAAGTGTTTTTAAGTTCGATCAATTCAACTAGTTTAATTAGTCCAATGGTTCCAAATATTAATCATTTTGATAAATTAAACTTGTTTAAAATATTAACGTTTTATAAAAGTAAGAAGCATCTATAATTTTTCAAGTTCACCCTATACGTAATTTAGACAAGTACTCTCATAATTAACTACTATTTAATATCTTTCTTAAGGAATTATTATGCATTTAAACGACAATAATATGGATTAGTGGTAATAGTGTTCTTTCTCATCTTGAATGTTGTTTTTTTATGTTGCTCAAACTCTTTAAAAACGTTGTTGGGTTTGTGTCAAATTTTTCAAAAGTAGTACATTTTTTAATTCAATACGAGTGTTATATTATAACGTCAAACTTCTCTATAATAACCTCGTTTGTTCCGAATATTTTTGGATGTTATAGCGAAGTGTTGTTATAGAGAACATACTCCATCCAGTCCACAATAGTGACCAATTTGCTTTTTTATTTTGGTCTAAAATAAGTGTCCATTTATATAATCAAGAAAAAATTAATTTATTTTTCCAAAATTACTCTTATGTATGTATCCCTAAAAAGTCATTTACTCCTCACATTTGAGAAGAGAAGTAATTGTTACTATAACTATGCTGCAACATTTAATTAAGGGTAATTTAGTCACACTAACTATTTTTGTCTATAATTTAGTATTTCCTTAATGAGTGTGCCCAAACAAATTGGTCACTTATTGTGAACCGGAGGGAGTATATTATAACATGAAAATTGGTTCCGAAAAAAGCTCGATTTTTATAGTGAATCGTTGTTATATAGGGTTGTTATAAAAAGGTCTGATTGTATTTGAAAAGTCCGAACAACATAGAGGTTTTTCCCCTATTCTAAGACAAACTAGGAATCCCTTAACCAGAGGTCTCGAGTTCGAGCCCTGGGTACGGAAAAATCCTTGGTAGGGAGCGCTTCCCCCCGAATGGGGCCTTACGCGACGCGTATCCGGATATACTCGGGCTCCGAAGCGGGTACCGGACAACAGGTGGGAACCCAAAAAAAAAAAAAAGAAGACAAACTAGGAAAAAACATTAAATTCCACATTAGTACATTTATTAAGCTAGGAGATAACAATTCCAACCAGAAACATTTATGGTTTGTGCAGAAAATTCATCAGTGCTGACTCAAAAGTTGATATGTTTTCATAATAAAATATGATGAGTTGACCAGTCAAAGGAACATTTAAAGCTTTTTAGAAAGAGAGATAATTTTATACTAAATGTAGGTGACTTTGAAAAAGACATGCATTGACTAAATTGCTTTTCTCCAATTTCTTTGACTAACATTTTAAACATAAACATTAAATAATTACCAAAGAATCAAAAATAAGAAAAATCCAAGAGAGAAACAACACTAGAAATTAATCAACACAATTTAAAAAAAAGGAGTTACTAACATGATACAGAAATAAATATCTAGCAACAACCAACCAATGCACTTTAATTTACACGGCGCAAATCCGGATTAGTAGGAACTCCAATATGAGTATCGAACACAAAATAAAAAACCAAAAATAAATAAATAAATCAATAATCAATTAACTATGTCGATGGACCTTCTCTATTCATTTTGCTCCAAAAAAAAAAAAAATTACCAAGTAATCAACAAAGGCGGAGGCGTAGATCCAACTGAATTCAATATTTTCGACATGAATTCACTAAAATTCTTGAAACATGGATATATACATGAAAAAATTTACTAAAATTTTAACAAATATCAAAATTATGAAACTATAACTCCAATAGTATAACATGTTCAGTGCTAAAAACCTTAAAAATCGAATGTATCACGTTTAAATTCTGAATGTATCTCTAGTAATATTCATACTTGATGGAAAAAGAATTACAAAATATGAGTAATTAATCTCTATATCAAGGAAATTAATAAAAGTTAATTGTTACAATCATGAGTTGTTGTTGTTTATATGATAAACATTAATTAAAACAATAATATCATTAGGTTTAAGATGAATCAAACTTATAGTGTTTATCAACAGCAACTGATACATCCCAAGTGCAACTCAATCCTTTTGGAATAATCACAAGATCACCAGCTCCAAATTCCACTGTTTCATCACTTGAGTTGTTCTTTGGATATACTTTCACTTTCCCTCTCAATAGATAACATGTCTCTTCTGCATCAAATTTTAATTGGTATTTCCCTGGTGAACAACCCCATCTGGAAATTTTTACATAAAAAAAATGTCTAAGCATTAATATAAAACACAAACATATAATACAACAACATAAATTGATTAGTTTTACGTTGATTGTTAGCCTACTGCAAGCCTCCTATTTCATCTTAACTAAGGAGAGCTCCGTAGCTGGGCTAGTCAATGACTAGAGGGCGACCGACCTACCGGACCGGAGGCGGCCGAGAATGTTATGTAAAACGGAACAAGAAGGACCTATCCTAAAGGAGAAGAAGGAGGAGTAGGAGCAAGCTCTAGGGGCGAACAACAACGATATATTAATTCTATATTAGTAGAATTTATCATAAATTGACTAGTTTTATGTTGACTGTTAGCCTACTGAAACCCTCCTATTGTTAGCCGTAGCTGGGCTAGTCAATGGCTAGAGGGCGATTGACCTTCCAGATTGCAGGCAGCCGAGAATGTTATGTAAAAAAGACTACGGAAGATCATAGGCTCAAGCAGGAGGAGGAGTAGGAGCTAGCTTTAGGGGCGAAATCGTTGGCAATTTTAAGCAAGCTTACACAGATGGAGAAAATATATATATAATCAAGAAAACATATATAAAGTATAATACAACAATGATATATTCAATATTCTAGGGATTCATCATGAATTGACGAGTTTTAAGTTTGATTGTCAGCCTACCACAACCCTCCACTTTCATCTAAACTAGCTAGGAACTGGCAATTTAAGCAAGCTTACACATACAAAAAAGACGAATATATTATAAAAAAATAATAACAAGAAAATCATAAGTTTGTGTACTTACTTAGGCCAAGATTTGATGCCTAATTCATTGAGTTGAGATTCTGAGGGATTTTTTTGAACAATTATCCTTAGGTTTGATGATGAAGAAGATTCTGTGGTAGAAGAAGCCATGAAAGGAAGAAAACTAAAGAGAAGAAAGGGATATTTATATATACACTCACCCGATTTTTCTTCTTTTTTTTTTTTTCTTTTGGCCAGAAAAAGAAATTGTTATATTATATATACTTTCTAAGGTATATACACCTGATAATTGATAATAATTCCAACCTTTTTGTATGCTGAGTTTATTTTATTAGGGAAATAGGAGAATCTTTTTCTTTTAAACCAACGAATGGAGAAAAGTAGAAGAGCCAAAAAAAAAAAAATTAATAATAATAAAATATACCAAGGAATAAGCAGAAGGAAAAAAGAAAGAAAAATAGTAAATGATCTATTATCCTTAACTTTCTTGAATTCGAGTTTGAGAAGAAGTCGCTTTTATTAGGAAGTATTTTATCTCCGAAGTAAAATTTTGCGACGTAAATTCAAATTAGTCGAGCTCTAAAACGAATACCGAATAATTAAAAAACCAAAATAATTGGCAAAAGGGATTTGTTTCTGTTTTGAGACAACTAGGTTTTCATATGTTTGAACATATACTTTGACCTATCACATCTTATTATATCGTGGTCATAAAATAATTGTTATTATTATTATTGTGAGAAAAGTATAGAAGTATTATTGTACATTTTTTAATGTTAGATTAGCTAGTTATAGTGGTACAACTTGTAGGAGTTGTTTAAAAAAAATTAGTGCAATTGAATTTGTTCTATTTTGTCTGTTAGCATGTCAAGCTTGATATAGACAATTATCTGTCATTATAGGTCGAATTAACTTAATATAAAAATTATTTATATTATCAGAGCATATAATATAAGTTATTCTTTTCTCTTTTGATATTTTGCATTCTTATTTAGAGTGGCTAGTGCATGAACCTCTAGGGGAAAACTTAAACTGAATTAACTAAAAGACCTTATTATAAAATATGTTTCATTTTCATATCTACAATATTATTATAAGTTTCTTATATTGACGATGGATAAATTTTGTATACTATCAGATCAAAATAATCTATAACAATAAGTAATCTTTCACAACAAGTTTGATACGATAACCTTAAAAATAAGGTAATAACTTAATATAGCCGATTATATTAGTACAATAATGATATAAAAATATTCATGTCAGTGTATAAATAAATATAAATTTATTATTTAATAGACGACCTTCCCCGAATGTTACTCGAGATTGCAATACTGTAAGGGTTTTGTTTATGGATACGTTCGAATTATATAACTTTAGTTTAAACTTTATATTTATCGTAATATAAAATTATTTATTTAAAATATAATGTATAAATATAAAATTTTAAACTTATACACTTTATATTATGGATCCGGCTCTACTAAAAAAGTATTAAAAAGGAATAAAAACTGAAAAATTGTGGATAGGATTCTCCAGTCAAACTATTGACCAAAAAATTAATCTTTGACCGACAGAGAAAAGTGGGAAGACAGTATTAGAAAATTGGGACGACTGTTTGACCAAAGGTATTGCTGTCTTGAATATGCTGACACATTATCCTCCACCCTTTTTGTATTTTTGTTTTCTTCTGTTAATGTTGGTATCAATATTCATTCACTCGATATACTACAAAAAAAAAAAACACCGTAGATAATTGGGGACCGTTGATAATTGTGTTTCAACGACAGATAAGCAAGCTATCTGCGCTGTCTAGTCCGATCGTTTAGCCGCTTTTTCTAAGAGACGAAAATAAAAAGTAAAAAATATCTCCTGGAAAAACCTCACGAGCTGATGGTCGGCGTAACAATAATAACATTGGTCGATATGCTACGCATGTTTACTAAATTATCATAGATTATTATTCTTTCTCTATCGAATGCACTGAGAAAAGTAGTTGTGAGGAATAAAGAACATATTTTGTGTATTTAATTCTGTTCAGGGGCGGATGCACGCTTAACGAAGCAACATCACACGACACCGATTCGTCTCGTGACACCGCTTCGTCGAATTTTTTTATTAAATATATGTATTAATACTGTAAGGAAATAGATAAGTAGACAAAAATAACATCACTTGACGTAAATTGTCTCTTGGTGTGTTGGTTATGTGCTTGATTTTGCTCTAAGAAGTCTGAGGTTTGAACCTCAACTAGCACATTTTTTTGCAACTATTTGAGAGAGCCTCTATGGTTAAAATTTGTGATGAAGTAGAATTGAACTCAAGACCCTTTCTAACATAAGACAACAAAATCAATAGGCTAAGACTAGTTCTTGTCTAAAAGTGTTGCACCCTATTTTGCACGAGTCAAAACAAGATTCAACTTATGATTTTTCTGGTTGATGACAAAAGAGAGTCGCTACCTAATATTTAAAGGTATACTAGGGTACCTATGTAATTACTAAGGTCATTTCTTTATTAGTCTACTAACCGGTGAGATTTTGGATAAGGGTTCTTGTTCTTCTAAAGGGAAGGTGTTAAGCACCCCTTAAAATCTACCTGAGGTAGCTCCATAGGACTTAGACTAGATTTAAAGAATTAGTTGTTTATACTCTACTTAACTAGTGTTAGGGGGTATGGCATACTCCATATATCTAATATAGAACCTGATATTTTGCAAAGAGTTTAGTAGTTTTAAAAGGATACAAGTTTATAAAAGAGTCTTGAAGATAATGTTTGTACATATATAATTGAAAGAGTTTAGAGTATGTACATGATGCTTGTTTTATAAAACATGTGAGATGGGGGCTAAGTTATAAAACATTTTTGCATTAAAAGAATATGGCTATTTGTGTAAAAGTATTGCAAAGAGATGGGTTTAGGATATACCTTGATTTTTTTCCAAATCTCAATTGTTAGGCTTTGAAGAAATTGTTAAATGCCTTTGCTGGGCGGCAACACTCGTTTAATTATGTTTTGTAGAAAAGCTCGATTTAAAAAACTAATTCGAATTTCGTGTCTGTTTTTTAAAGAGAAGACTGCCCCTTGCTAAAGTTGTTTTGATTTCAAAAGACTTTGTGAAATCGTTAGTAGAGATTAATAATATAAATAGTGTGTAATTAACGAATTAAGACAATATATTATTAAGTCTAATATTTTTTTTAATCCTACATTTTTAGGGGGCTTGCCTAGATTGTCTACAAGATTCAAAGAAATAACATAAAATATTTAATCAGATATGATGAGTGTCATATACATGTAAGAAATAAGGATAGCGAAATGTAATGAAGCAATAAAGGAAAAGGAAGGACTTTGGTTTGAGCCTTAAAAGAGGTAGGCCCAGCAAACAGCAGGAACGGACAACAACTGACTTCAAACTTCCAAATGCACAGGTATAGGACTTGGGCCTGAATTCTTTGAGAACTCGGCAGGCCCAATGGTAATACATGTTCAAAAAGAAAGAAAGAAAGAAAGTCAGTAGATTGCTACTCTATGCATATAATCATACATGAAATAAATTGGTAAAGGGCCTACACAAATTATAACAATCAATGGTAATCCGAATTATGAAAATTATACTAATGGGGCCACATATGGCAAAGTGATTCATATTGAAAATCTTTCATTGTCATTAAACACTAAACCTAAAGGGAGTAATATATGTCAATAGATTAAAGGCTAAGGGTAGAATTTCATTCATGGCCAAGGTACTCTTTGGATATCTAGACACTTCAAACTAAACTCTACTCCCAATTACCCCTAACCACTCACACTCATTCTTCCCTACATATTTAAGTGCCAATGAAGCATTTCAATGTAAATCCCAATTGTAATGACCCAGCCGGTCGTTTTGAAAATTAACGCCCCAATCCCCTATTAGCTGCTTCCCCCGTGTCTTTTTTCTACTATTGTAATTTTCCGGGATGATTCATTTTGAATTTCGGAGTGTTTTGGGACACTTGGTCCCCAAATGAGAGCTTAAATCTTAAAAAATTTGGATCGTAGTCGGAGCAGTGTAAAGACGGCTTTGGAATGGAATTCTGTCAATTCCATTAGCTACGTTGGGTGATTTTGGGCTTAAGGGAGTGTCCGGATTGTGTTTTTGAGCTCCGTAGCTCATTTAGGCTTGAAATGGCGAAAGTCGAATTTTTGGAGTTTCGGGCCGATAGTGGAATTTTCGATATCGGGGTCGAAATCTGATTCTAGAAGGTGGAATAGGTCCATAGTGGTGAATATGACTTGTGTGCAAAATTTGGGGTAAATCGGACATGGTTTAGTTGGTTTCGGCATCGGTTGTAGAATTTTGAGATTTCAAGTTCATTAAGTTTGGATTGGAGGGTGATTCGTGGTTTTAGCGTTGTTTGATGTAATTTGAGGGCTCGACTAAGTTTGTATAATGTTTTAGGATTGGTTGGTATGTTTGGCTGAGGTCTCGGGGGCCTCGGGTGAGGATCGGATGCTTAACGGATTGGTTTGGGACTTAGGCATTTTGCTGGAGTTGCAGCACCTGTTGTTTTCGCACCTGGGCATTTTGGGCCGCAGAAGCGGCTAAGGAACCGTAGAAGCGGAGTTGGTCCCGGTTAGCTTGGATCGCAGGTGCGGCTGGGGGACCGCAGAAGCGGCCTCGGAGATGCAGCCCAGTGCCCGCAGATGCAGTCCCAGCCCAGTTAAGTGGCTTTCGCACCTACGATGATTTTTCCGCAGGTGCAGGATCGCAAATGCGGTCCTATAAGCACAGAAGCGGAAATCGCTAGGCAGAAAAGAGGATTTCGAGAGTTTGAAATTTAATAACACAAAATTCGATTTGGAGCTCGGTGGGAGGCAATGTTTCGAGGGATTTTGAAGGAAAGCTATTGGGTAACTACTCCTAACTCAATTTTGATCATATTACGTTAATCTATTATTGTATTCTTCATCTAATTATGAATTTGAGGGTGGAAGTTTGGAAAATGGGGGAAAGGTTCCCCAATCAAAAATTTGAGGTTTGAGTGTCAATTAGGCGTCGGTTTTGGATGACTTTTGTACGAGTGGATTCGTGAGTGAATGGGTGTTTATAATTTGGGACTTTTACCCGATTCCGAGACGTGGGCCCGGGAATAATTTTTGGGCGTTTCCCTATGTTCTTGCCTTTGCTTTGAA